TATTAGTTTAACAGTTCATCAGCTAATATAAGCTATACTACCCATAGTTTGACCTCTGTGGTCAGCTACTATTAGTTTAACAGTTCATCAGCTAATATAAGCTATACTACCCATAGTTTGACCTCTGTGGTCAGCTACTATTAGTTTAACAGTTCATCAGCTAATATAAGCTATACTACCCATAGTTTGACCTCTGTGGTCAGCTACTATTAGTTTAACAGCTCATCAGCTAATATAAGCTATACTACCCATAGTTTGACCTCTGTGGTCAGCTACTATTAGTTTAACAGCTCATCAGCTAATATAAGCTATACTACCCATAGTTTGACCTCTGTGGTCAGCTACTATTAGTTTAACAGTTCATCAGCTGATATAAGCTATACTACCGGTAGTTTGACCTCTGTGGTCAGCTACTATTAGTTTAACAGTTCATCAGCTAATATAAGCTATATTACCGGTAGTTTGACCTCTGTGGTCAGCTACTATTAGTTTAACAGCTCATCAGCTGATATAAGCTATACTACCCATAGTTTGACCTCTGTGGTCAGCTACTATTAGTTTAACAGTTCATCAGCTGATATAAGCTATACTCCCGGGAGTTTGACCTCTGTGGTCAGCTACTATTAGTTAAACAGTTCATCAGCCGATATAAGCTATACTACCGGTAGTTTGACCTCTGTGGTCAGCTACTATTAGTTTAACAGTTCATCAGCTAATATAAGCTATATTACCGGTAGTTTGACCTCTGTGGTCAGCTACTATTAGTTAAACAGTTCATCAGCCGATATAAGCTATACTACCGGTAGTTTGACCTCTGTGGTCAGCTACTATTAGTTAAACAGTTCATCAGCTGATATAAGCTATACTACCCATAGTTTGACCTCTGTGGTCAATCATCTGTACACTCTTTAGTTTAACCAGTGTTGTCCGCTGAATGTTAGTACACTCTTAGTTTGACCACTGTGGTCAATCATCTGTACAGTCTTTAGTTTAACCAGTGTTGTCCGCTGAATGTTAGTACACTCTTAGCTTGACCACTGTGGTCAATCATCTGTACAACAGTCTTTAGCTTTCCAGTGTATGCTGTCAGCTGAATGTTTCAACTCTTAGTTGACAACTCGTAAGTAGAACTCTTTAAGTTTGAACAATATGGACTTTTCAACTTTAAAAGACGACTCTTTTTGATCTTGGCCCTAAAACTGTATGAAAACCTATTTGTGATTGTGCTGGATAAAATTTTATTAACACTCTATCATGTTATGGAATGGTAAATATCTAAACTAGGTTAGGGTTGTTTGAATTAGACAAAATATATTGTTATTTAATGATTGAGGTGTAACCTAGCTGTATATAAATATGTACTAGCATATCTGGGAAGTAAAGTAATGACCAACAAAGCCATTAAGGCAATCCAAACTAGACCACTAGAGACAAAGTGTTCCCCTTCTTGCAGAATCCATAACAAAAGAGATTTTGTTGGCCTGCTCATCTATTGCATAAAGTTCTCCTTGTCGTCATCAGTGATGCTAAGTCAGGCGTTATAGGCACAGCAGGACTTTTAACCTGGACTTAACAGTTGTGTAGTTAAGCTGGGAGACTATGAATTACTAAATAATTCATGACCATCAGATACGTAAAGACTAGGGAACACACTTAGTGTCTAAATATAGTGTAACGATTACTTGGGGAGGGAGACATTTACGTAAATCACGGAGACAAAAAAGATGGTAGGTTCCGAGGTCTGTTCCAAACATATAATCATCAACTCCGAAGGAGCAGCGCGTAAGGGAGAGACAAGAAGATCAGAGGTACTTTAGCGTTCACCCACGTCACCATACAAAATAATCACCACCGATACATGTGACAGGGGGAAGTTTGCATCACATATTCTGAAGATGTTGGAAGATGTGTTGTGGCTTCAGGAAAGGGCTACTATCAGACACTGTTAAAATATCCCAGGTTGAATAGCCTATTTATCATGATATATCAATATAAACTACCAAGTAGATAGTAGCAGAGGTTTACTTGGGCAGGTTACTAGAAATGTTGGGAGACAAGATACCTAAATATAAACCAGAGTAAATCGTACTGGAGAACTTGCATGGGGACATATAAGCTGCCAGATATATGCTACTAGTAGACATTGACATTTTTACAAATATATATACTGACGGGTTCTAAGGGATATTGTCCTAGAATAATCACAGTGGCCACAGAAATGATTTAATGGCGCCAGATTATATTTCTACAGATGGCTTTGGTCTGTTATAATTTATCTGAGAAAGTTGCGGGCCTGCACAGGCTGACCATTGGAGGACTTTTGGCTGGAATATGCTACATTTGACTGTCATGCATAATCTTTGCTTCTAACTGATCACTGATTGGTTGTTTTATCAGTTGGATGCTATTGGTTGACCGTTGTTTATCAATAGATGATGGACTGGTGATTCTTTTGACGACAACATCAACGTAGATGTTCATCTGTGACACTAGATATCTCGTTGATTCAGAAGTTGATCGGCCTACGTTCTCAAGGTGAAAGGGTCAAATAGATTAGGAGGCATCAATTTCTAGGAAATTAGAAGCATTATAAAAATGCAATAGAAAATTTTGAATAGAACATTTTCAACCTTAATCTCCTGAAAAGCTGTGCTTGTGAATTACAGAGGACGAAATTGTATCATGTGAAAATCTAATAGGAAATTCAATTTTGTGAAAACTTGAATTAAGGGGTTTAACAGTGTTTCCCTGGTATCACAGTAAGAGGGGTATTGTAGCACTGTGATGTTTTATTGTGCAGCAAAACCCTGACACAAAACTACAATTAGCTGTGACACGCGATGTAGCAGAGGAGACTGGGTATGCTGTCGTTGGAGGCATGATGCTGTGGTTGGTGGCGGTCGATAACACAGTTTTATAGTTGTACACATGAATAAAATCATTTGAAAAAAGAAAAAGAAATAAGGAATGAAACGAGATCCAAAAATATTTGTTACAAGAGTGAAATTAGAATTGTAGACAAAAGTCAAACTGGTTACCAGGTAGTGTCTTCTTGTGGTTTATTGTAGCACTATACCATCAGATAGACGTTTGTGAGAGTTCTGTGAAATGAGTCTGGTCAGGCCTGTGAGATAGGAAAGTAAAATCAGGTGAGATCTGTAAGATATGAATGTAAAGGGTGGTCAGGTAGCACGGTGGATAGCACACTTGTCTTACACCAAGGCGACCAGGGTTCGATTCCCATATTGGATATGAAAGGTATTTAACACACACACACACATCGGGGCTAGAAAGAGTAATAAATATAAGTTAATAAACATTTGTAACTAGTTTCATAATTGTAGAAAAATAAACAAATTGTAATAGAATAGAATAAAATGTCTGGTGAGACCTATACATGTGAAATCTGAATGTAAGATCTGTGATGAGTTTCATGAGATAAATATCAAACTGTGGTTAGTGAGTCTTTGAGTCGCACTGTATGCAATCCCATCAGCCATGTGAGCAAGTCGGCAACCATCCTGTTCAAACAAACATCGTTCTGATGCTTTCTGATTTCTACACAAGAAAAACAGTAATTTCGGAAATGGAATGTTTTCATTGATGATGAAATCTTGGTGTTTTCCCCGTACATTACAGCTATGGCTCTGTTAAACTGATGGGGAACAAATGTTCACATGTCATTGAGCACCTGCATTTCCAATTGTACTGGTGCTAAACGTAGCTATACTACACGTATCGGGCTTGTTCAAGCTCCGATGATTAGATGTTGCTCAATCATTTTAAGTGTTTAATGCTGAGGGAGAAAGATCTAGCAGCGTGTGATAGGAAAAGGGTGACTGATCTACACAAATTAAATGTTCTAGCTTGTCGGGGTCCTAACTGACAGAGTAGCGGTGTAGAACTCTATTTATGGCATGCTACAAAGATATGTTGTACAAATTGACAGGCACAAAAATAGCATGCATAAATATCTTGTCCTAGACATTTTGAATTTCGATTTATAAACTATGACTAGGCTATCAATCAGTTTGTGTTTTTGAAGATCATTACTAGCGTCTATTAATCATTGGTTTCCGGTGATTCAACATCTGTCCTTGCTGGGAACATTTCTCTGGTGGTTTGAGATATTGACCAATCTTTGAAATGTTTACACTCCGTGTCTTTACACTATAAATAGGATAATTGTTTTCATGATCAATTCTTGAAAAATTTCCTGTTTTGATCCAAGCTGCAGTATAAGGAATATAATACTGGCTGGAAATCTCATTCCATTTTGTGTTAGGGCCTGAGAAAAATTTGTTGGAGATCAGAAAGGTTAAAAAAGGGAAAAAGTTCAGAGAAACGGGTAATGAAGTAATTAAGAAAGTGATCATTATGTGTGGTAAAGGATGATTATAAGGTAAGGTAATGGTTTTGTGGTGGACAAATTACATGGAGGGGTAATGGTTGGTGCTACATGTACTGTCAGGTCTTAATATTGTACATTGACAAAAAAAAACACCACTCACACCCAATGCTTAACATTCAGCTTGGAAGTGACTTCATGGAGACCTCTGCTAAGAGCTTACAGTGCTTTAAACAGACGGTAGTAACCTCATTGATCTCTACTTGATTTTAGTGACGACCTTGGTGACCTTTACTCAGAGCTTACTGTACCTGTACTTGATGGTAGTGATGACCTTGGTGACCTTTACTCAGAGCTCACAGTACCTCCACTTGTGTTAGTGATGACCTTGTTGACCTTTACTAAGAGCTTACAGTACCTCCACTTGATGTTAGTGATGACCTTGTTGACCTTTACTCAGAGTTCACAGTACCTCTATTTGATGGTAGTGATGAACTTGGTGACCTTTACTCGGAGCTTACAGTACCTCTACTTGATGGTAGTGATGAACTTGGTGACCTTTACTCAGAGTTCACAGTACCTCTACTTGATTGTAGTGATGACCTTGGTGACCTTTACTCAGAGCTAACAGTACCTCTACTAGATTGTAGTGATGACCTTGGTGGCCTTTACTGGGAGTTCACAGTACCTTCACTTGATGTTAGAGATGACCTTGTTGACCTTTAGTCAGCTTACAGTACCTGTACTTAATGGTAGTGATGACCTAGGTGACCTTAACTCTGAGCTTACAGTACTTGTACTTGATGTTAGTGATAACTTTGGTGACCTTTACTCAGTGTTCACAGTACCTCCACCCTTTACTCAGCTTACAGTACCTGTACATGATGTTAGTGATGACCTTAGTGGCCTTTACTCAGAGCTTACAGAACCCCTACTTGATGATAGTTATGACCTAGGTGACCTTTACTCAGAGCTCGCAGTACCTCCACTTGAGTTAGTGATGACCTTGTGGCCCTTTACTCAGTGTTAACAGTACCTCCACTTGATGTTAGTGACGACCTTGGTGACCTTTACTCGGAGGTCACAGTACCTTCACTTGATGTTAGAGATGACCTTGTTGACCTTTACTCAGCTTACAGTACCTGTACTTGATGATAGTGATGACCTTAGTGACCTTTACTCAGAGCTTACAGTACCCCTACTTGATGATAGTTATGACCTAGGTGACCTTTACTCAGATCTTACAGTACCTGTACTTGATGTTAGTGATGACCTTGGTGACCTTTACTCAGAGCTTACAGTACCTGTACTTAATGGTAGTGATGACCTAGGTGACCTTTACTCAGAGCTTACTGTACCTGTACTTGATGGTAGTGATGACCTTGTTGATCTTTACTCAGAGCTTACAGTACCTCTACTTGATGTAAGTGATGAACTTGGTGACCTTTACTGAGAGTTCACAGTACCTCTACTTGATGGTAGTGATGACCTTGGTGACCTTTACTCAGATCTTACAGTACACCTACTTGATGTTAGTGATGACACTGGTGACATTTACTCAGATCTTACAGTACACCTACTTGATGGTAGTGATGACCTTGGTGACCTTTACTCGGAGTTCACAGTACCTTCACTTGATGTTAGTGATGACCTTGTTGACCTTTACTCAGGGCTTACAGTACCTCTGCTTGATGTTAGAGATGACCCTAGTGACCTTTACTGAGAGTTCACAGTACCCCTACTTGATTGTAGTGATGACCTTATTGACCTTTACTCAGAGTTCACAGTACCTCCACTTGATGGTAGTGATGACCTTGGTGACATTTACTCAGATCTTACAGTACATCTACTTGATGGTAGTGATGACCTTAGTGATCTTTACTCAGAGCTTACAGTACCTCTACTTGATGATAGTTATGACCTAGGTGACCTTTACTCTGAGCTTACAGTACCTGTACTTGATGTTAGTGTTGACCTTGGTGACCTTTACTCAGAGTTAACAGTACCTCTACTAGATTGTAGTGATGACCTTGTTGACCTTTACTCAGTTTACAGTACCTGTACTTGATGGTAGTGATGACCTTAGTGATCTTTACTCAGAGCTTACAGTACCTCTACTTGATGATAGTTATGACCTAGGTGACCTTTACTCTGAGCTTACAGTACCTGTACTTGATGTTAGTGATGACCTTGGTGACCTTTACTCAGAGCTTACAGTACCTGTACTTAATGGTAGTGATGACCTAGGTGACCTTTACTCAGAGCTTACTGTACCTGTACTTGATGGTAGTGATGACCTTGTTGATCTTTACTCAGAGCTTACAGTACCTCTACTTGATGTAAGTGATGAACTTGGTGACCTTTACTGAGAGTTCACAGTACCTCTACTTGATGGTAGTGATGACCTTGGTGACCTTTACTCAGATCTTACAGTACACCTACTTGATGTTAGTGATGACACTGGTGACATTTACTCAGATCTTACAGTACACCTACTTGATGGTAGTGATGACCTTGGTAACCTTTACTCGGAGTTCACAGTACCTCCACTTGATGTTAGTGATGACCTTGGTGACCTTTACTCAGGGCTTACAGTACCTCTGCTTGATGTTAGAGATGACCCTAGTGACCTTTACTGAGAGTTCACAGTACCCCTACTTGATGGTAGTGATGACCTTATTGACCTTTACTCAGAGTTCACAGTACCTCCACTTGATGGTAGTGATGACCTTGGTGACATTTACTCAGATCTTACAGTACATCTACTTGATGGTAGTGATGACCTTGGTGACCTTTACTCAGAGTTCACAGTACCTCCACTTGATGTTAGGTTTGACCTTGGTGACCTTTACTCAGTGTTCACAGTACCTCCACTTGATGTTAGTGATAACTTTGGTGACCTTTACTCAGAGCTCACAGTACCTCCACTTGATGTTAGTGATGACCTTGATGACCTTTACTCAGTGTTCACAGTACCTTTACTTGATGTTGGAGATGACCTTGATGACCTTTACTTGGAGGTTACAGTACCCCTACTTGATGTTAGTGATGACCTTGAGGCCCTTTACTCAGTGTTCACAGTACCTCCACTTGATGTTAGTGATGACCTTGTTGACCTTTACTCAGAGTTTACTGTACCTGTACTTGATGGTAGTGATGGCCTTGGTGACATTTACTCAGATCTTACAGTATACCTAATTGATGTTAGTGATGACCTTGGTGACCTTTACTCAGAGCTTACAGTACCCCTACTTGATGTTAGTGATGACCTTGGTGACCTTTATTCAGAGTTCAAAGTACCTCCTCTTGATGTTAGTGATGACCTTGTAGACCTTTACTAAGAGCTTACAGTACCTTTACTTGATGATAGTGGTTACTTTGCTGACCTTTACTCAGAGTTCAAAGTACCTCATCTTGATGTAAGCGATAACCTGGGTGACCTGCAGAGATTACAGTACCTCTGCTTGATGTTAGCGACGACCTTGGTGACCTTTACTCAGAGCTTACAGTACCTTTACTTGATGATAGTGACAACCTGGGTGACCTGCAGAGCTTACAGTACCTCTACTTGATGTTAGCGACGATTTTGGTGACCTTTACTCAGATGCTTACAGTACCTCTTCTTGATGATAGTGACAACCTGGGTGACCTGCAGAGCTTACAGTACCTCTACTTGATGTTAGCGACGACCTTGGTGACCCTTACTCAGAGCTTACAGTACCTCTACTTGATGATAGTGACAACCTGGGTGACCTGCGGAGCTTACAGTACCTCTACTTGATGTTAGTGATGACCTGGTTGACCTTAACTTAGAGCTTACAGTACATTTACAATATCTTGGTAAGCATTATGTATATTGTAGGTAATATTAATAATCCCAATGGCTGTTGTTTATTTATATACCACACTCCAAGTAGTGATGACCTTTCAACATTAATTACATATAGACACGAAGAGCTCCAGATTAGGGGCGACGCTAACAACAATGTATATCCTTGTTGTGACTTGCATGTGCGTGACCCGTAATTGTATTATGGTAGAGTTATGGCCCTTGACATCTCCTGTTAATTGTGTCTTGTCTGGCTTGGACATGTACCAGAGGCTGCAGTGGTCAAGCCTGGATATAGAATGTCCATCATGTTACAGGTCATGGTCATCTGAGGACACTTTGGTCAGATGTTGAGTTCGGTGTTAGCTTACATTCAATACCTGACATAGGTTTGATAGACATGTACGCATCTTGTGTTAATTCAAAGACTTATGGTGGAGAAAATACAACTCTCAGCATGATTCATATCAAACCATGGCATCTATAGTTATACACACTCCTAGATGGGTTGGTAGACTACATATAGCTATTCCGGGGTAAAAGTGTATTGTCCACATAGTTGTTTAATACGACATTACTGTACATCATTATATTTTCATATAACAAATGCAGAAAATGAAGTTCTTAATTAACTAACTATTTCTCTGAGGAATAGCTAATGTAAATAAAAGGCTGTAGGCTTTGATCTGGCAGAGGGGATCTGAATTTTGTGTTAAAAATAGACTTGTATATATAGATACGTTATATTTGTAATTTACTGATTAGTGCCATTTTAGAGGACTGTAAAGCTATTCAGACAGAATAAGCACTGGAGCACAGTTTACATCAGGGGAAGACAACCCACTTCAGTCCCTGATTATTGGGGCGCTCAGCTTACAGGACTGCCCTGGTAATTAGTGTAACCCTAGCCTCTAGATCAATCACTTTGTTGTCCAAACAGTAATTACTGTAGACAATGATCGTGGTGCAGTGTGCTGAGGACCTGTATAAACGCAATGATCCCTCCTGTTTACTTTGGAAGGAAAACAGCCCCCACTTACATAGCCCTAAATCAACAATTTGCATTACAAGAAACCAGTGTGTATTGACATTTATAGCCTAGTCCATTGTGTCAGTTATCATAATGCGAGACCAAATTCATGAAATCTGCCTGTATTTTTTCCACATTTCCATGGGGTCCCATAACCGTGCCTCTTTAGTTGCTTCATTTTCCACAATTTTATTGACTCCACACATTTTCTAGGACTACAGTGGTGGTGTTTCAATTTTGTATTCCTCCAAGGCCTCCATGTTGTGGTGGGTATTCACTATGGGTTCTGACAGATGTGCCCGGCTAAGTCTCCACGCTTGTCGTTTCATGGTAGTCGTACCAGCCAGCCTCAATGAGATTTGTATCATTTTTCTTTGTTTATCAAAAGCTTCAAGAGCTTGAGAGATCTTGATCAGAATGCAGCATGAAGACAGGAAGCGTAATTATGAACATTGATAGGTTATTTGAATTGATATTGATTGCCAGTGGTAAGGTCCGAGGCATTCAATGACTGTGATAATCCTACAGTTGGGATTAGTGTTTTGGAGACACAAGGGTTATCAAGTACATTGTCGGTCAGATTTCATTCTCAGCCTTAGAAACGCATTATATATGCATGGGGCCTATAATTTTAGAAAAAAACATGAATGAAACTCTTTGATAGAAACATGATTTTATTTTACTTTTCGCTAGGAAATTGTGCAGATCACAGATCAAATAATAGTAATAATATCTAAGTCCTCAAATGAAGGTTGTTACCTGCTAAATAAACTGGACATTTAATAATCCTCTTACCCAGACATTTAAATCGCCACCTGAAACGTTGTCGTACATTTTGAGTTTTGATCTCATACAACTTCCTGCGGTTTTGGGGTGGGGTGGCGGGAAATATTTTCCCGCTGTTTTGGGGCGGCGGTGTTTTCCAACAGTTTTGGGGTGGACCACATTTCCCTCGGTTTTGGGGCGGCGGTGTTTTCCCACGGTTTTGGGGTGGGGTGGCGGGAAATGTTTTCCCGCGGTTTTGAGGCGGCTGTATTTTCCCACGGTTTTGGGGTGGGGTGGCGGGAAATGTTTTCCCGCGGTTTTGGGGCGGCGGTGTTTTCCCACGGTTTTGGGGTGGGGTGGCGGGAAATGTTTTCCCGCGGTTTTGGGATGGGTGGAGGAGGGGCAGTGGCCCCATAACTTTACCTCTACTGGAGTAGTGCAAATATAGGAGATTTCAAAATGTTTTACAATCGGTGCTTGTCATGGAGGTCATTTGCAGGTTGACCTGTACGAATGCAGCTGACTTGGCAGGTATGCAAGTATTCAATAAATCTCTAATTGGAATGCAACACCCTGCACAGTGGTACAGCTTTGTAACCCAATGCCTACTGATAGTGGAGGAAGGGTCAGTTAGAGGACTCATTAACCCAAGGATCAGGTCATCAGATCAAGGAAACTCATTGACCCCCACATTCTCATTTCACTTATGATTGCAGTTTTTGTCAAAAGAAGTCTGTAAATCTGAGAGGCTAGAGAAAGATGGTGTGCTCTTAATATTTACAATATTGTGAAATATTTCCTGCCTTTTATCATACCTTTTTCTACTCCAACAATGTTAGAGGTTTTACACGGCGAAAAACTTTTGACAGGCGCCGCGTAACCTCTAACTGCCCATAGCTGATTTTCCCGATGCTGACGATCACATTTTCAAAGTTCGGATTAAGAAAGAGTATATCGTGTTTACAAACATTTAAATGGTCAAAAGGGTCCAATAAATATTCCTTTCCATAAATCCATGATTATATGAGAAAAATTGCGTGTCAAAGACATAAATAATGAGTTTTTCCTCATTCGAAGCGAAGCAGACAGCATTTGCCATGATTTTTCCGGTTAATACAAAAATGGATTACATGTAATGTTTCACAAGCGGAATACAAACAAACTCCGTATCATTTCGTTCCGTTTGAAATCCCCCCTGCTATTTTGTATTAATCCAGAAGCCATGTTTTAAATGTAGGTCAGAGATGTGCTACAACGACATGGACATGTATTTTGAGTGTTCTATTCCGTAATATACTATATATTTGTGTCTGTGACATACATATGAGATCTATATTATATAAACCGTGAGTAGACATCGTTGTCATGAACTGTTAACCACTAAAGTGAGTTTTTCAAGCCGATTTTGTTCCGCCCGGATTTCGGGCGGAAACTGCATCAAAGAATTAGTGCTTCGGAAATGAGAGGTCGCAGTCGGCAAAATCATATCCGATTGAAAAAAGGCCGACCAGCGGCCTCTCATGTTATGGGAGTAACCTTTTTCCAGCTTTTAAAAGTTAATGTTATCAATTGAATCAAATAATGTTATTGCTTCACCATGTATAAGAAAAACAAAGTGCAGGCGTTAGTGTTAAAGTACAGGAAGGAACAATTGTTGTATGATACGGTGTTAATTCTACTGATGCTGTTCATTATAAAGTCACTATATGATTTGTGACTATTTAACATATTGATACTGTCAAAGATGGGCAATGTTTGTCTAGCTCAGTCTATAAACTGAATACAGAGAATATTTTGCCCTGTCAAGATTTCGCCCTTCGTCGGTAATAAACATTGCCCCGGTATGAATTTCGCCCTTCGCTGGTAATAAACATATTCCTCTGGTATGCATTTCGCCCTTGGCTGGTAATAAACATATTCCTCTGGTATGAATTTCGCCCGTCACATTTGATTACTATATTATGTTGTTTATTCATGTTCCCTGTGATGATAAATTGTACAGTATATGTACAATGGTGAAATGATTGAGACTGAGGCATAAAGGTTAGTTGTATCTATGTTAGAGCGACTTTGGTAATATTTAACATATTTATAAAGGTTGGTAGCATTTGAGGCCATTTACAATACTATATAATTTTGTAACATTTGAAGCCAGGCATCATTTTAGGACATTTACCACACTATATATGTTTGTAGTATTTAAAGACATTTACCACACTATATAGATTTTAGTATTTAAAGACATTTACCACACTATATAGATTTTAGTATTTAAAGACATTTACCACACTATATAGATTTTAGTATTTAAAGACATTTACCACACTCTATAGGTTTGTAGTATGTAAAGACATTTACCACACTATATAGGTTTTTAGTATTTAAAGACATTTACCACACTATATAGATTTGTAGTATTTAAATACATTTACCACACTCTATAGGTTTGTATTATGTAAAGACATTTACCACACTATATAGATTTTAGTATTTAAAGACATTTACCACACTATATAGATTTTAGTATTTAAAGACATTTACCACACTATATAGATTTGAAGTATTTAAAGACATTTACCACACTCTATAGGTTTGTAGTATGTAAAGACATTTACCACAATATATAGGTTTGTAGTATTTAAAGACATTTACCATCACAAACTATATATTTTTGTACTATTGAAAGACATTTACCCCCCTATATAGGTTTGTAGTAT